AGTTAGATGACTTTGCATTGTGCTCAAATTAAGAATATAAATGGGGATGGGATGGATGGATCTGCATGCCGAGGATCTGGGAGGAGGATGAGTAAGTGAGGTGAAGGATTTAATCGGTTGGATATTTATATTTGGCACGGAGACAGAATTCTGACGTGTCGTCAGATTTCAGCTTTGGAGAATTCATGAATCGTAGAAATTATGAATTGTACAGTTAAAGTCATTCTAATTTTAGGCGAACCTTTACACTTAAATGGCAGAAAACTTATGTATATGCAAATAAATTTAAAGACTAAAATAACCGGATTTTTACCATGTATCACACCTAACATTTATACATTTTTCGAGTGAAAGGTATCTAATTTTCCCCCTCTAAATATTTATATGAGGTCGTTATCCAATTTTTTCCAGCCCAAAAGAGGACATCAATCCATCAAATAACTTACCACGAGTAAGTAAAATGCCACCGGTGAACATTTAGTAGGATGGAATGAAGGATCATCTCACCATCTCAGAAAGCCTCAAACCACATCAGCCCAAGTATCAGGCATCCCATTATCTTAAACCTTTGCCATTTTGCTTTCTCTCTCTGGCTGTCGTCCCCTCTTTCCTTGTTTGCACATTACCTCTTGGTTCTGCTCGGTTGGACGGAATTCATCATACCATTTTGGCAGATGGATAGCCCTCATGGCACTTTAGGACTGTAACGGCACTTTACTAAATCGGTCATGCCAATCTTTCCTAAAGAAAGAAGGGCGCCGTATTATTTCATTTTTCCAACTCTTCACCTTTCCTCTGAAGAGACAAATGTCATACATATATGTCACTCGCTACTACACGTCGTCGTCCTTCTTCTCTTGCCCTAAATTGAATCTGTTAACAAATGTCTCTATTTAAGGCGAGCAACCTAAAAATGTCACCTGGTCGAAAGAAAGAGCTGTCCTCTCTTTTATCCAAACTCACATTTATCTCTCAAACACCAGGGAAGCCATGACATGATGACGCAACTTCTCGGTGAGATAAAAAGACAAAGGAAATGGAAGAAGTTGGCTAAAAATATATCGCGTTATTCACGGTGATCTATTTACCAGGTAATTAATCCAGTAAAATAGGCAGTTAGGAAACCTATGTTTCAAAATTTCCGTAACTTTCCCTATCTCTTGAGTTGGGTCAAAATTCTGGAGACAACATGAAAAATATTAATTGAAGAGAACGGCTCCAGAAATTTTGACACTTTTTGAAAATTTTGACAAGAAGGGAAGTTACGCAAATTTTAACACCGTAGTTTTTCCAACCCCTAATATTTCCAAACTACGTAATGTTGATTTGGACATTAAAACATATCACGAGCAATTGAAGTCCTACGTTTTCCAGCCTAAATCAATAGCAACTTCCACTTTCTAGAAAATAAGAAGAGGCCGAAGAAAGAGCAGCTAAGACGTGTGTGCAGAAGAAGGAGGAGGGAGATTGAATGAAACGATGTAATTTGTTTCAGGAGGAGAAACAGATTAATTTATTTCGCGTCATCCCATTCATCGTCCCCCATCTCGACCGACGTCTCTCCTTCCCTGGCTGCTGAATCACTTCCATTTCCGTCCAAGTTCACTTCCTCATCGACCCCAACCGGGGACATTTAAGACATCCGATACAAGATGAGAAACCACTTTCTAATAATGGATGGATAGGTAGCCGACACTACCAGATCTTCTTCTTCTCCTTGGTGATAAGTGGCAGGTTAGGGCGAACAAGTTGGTTGGTTGGTGAACCTGATCTAATGGTCGTCCTAGTAGTAGTACCATGATGATACCGAGATCGTGCAAGACGTGGGTGGGAAGTGGTCATAAAGTAAGATCGTTCCCAGAGAAAAAAAGTGTCTGGGTTGCTGCCGGTAGAAATTAATCTCCTGAAAAATGTGGAAGGTCTCGCACAAAATTGCATCACATGAATTGAGATGCATCTAAGTAGCTTTCCCTGAGACCAATTTCTTATCCGATCTTAAAAATATTTATGCTAATCAAACCTTGCCTTATCCCATTTTGATACATAACTTCGTCTCGTTGGGTGCCATACTTACTTATTTCCTTCGACACGATGATAATAATGGATGTTACTATAATAAGCAGTTATGCATCCCTGGATCCAGATTTGATGGAGACATTGAACCAGCCGGGTGGGAGCTGGGAGTAGAAATATAATTCGATGATGATGATGACGATCAGATTCTCAACTTTATCAAAATTCTTGTTCAGTAGAAGGTCGTTTAATGCAATATAACAGTTATTTTAGAATTCCACTGCAGCCAAAATGAACCAGTGCAGCGTGAACATAATATTCTCTCCGCTATACTAAATAAGTAGATCTTAAAGAACCAACTTCCTCCATTCCATCCAATTCCACTAATTAGTCTTTCGATATTGGACCCGTCGTGGTGGTGGTAGTCCCGTCTTAAAGCGTGTAGTAGTACAAGCAAGATGAGGACGATGAAGGGGATTGAGCCCGGTAGGTAATAATGGAGGGTAGTAAAGTGTCGGCAGCATTTTGAGAGTAATTTTGTCCCCTGCATATTATTGTCAAGAAGAAATAACTACTCGTGCCAAGCCGACCAACTTACATATTCGAGGCAACGTTACGTTATGTAAGTTGCTTCCCGATACATGAAAACGATCGTAAAATGGCTGAGCAATAAAAATTTTAAGTTTAAAGTACAGCCCCACAAATTGCTAATAAATATTTCGTCCTGTTAAAAACATTGTCGGTCATAATTCCGGGTTTGGTTTAAGTGTGTGGCTGGCACTTGTAAAATATTTTTTATCAGATTCATTTATATCGCATGCCCAGGATTTTAGATCCGTACCCACTTAAAAAAATAAAATTTTTACACGGAAAAGCTCATAAATTTCAATATGACAAAAGTAGAAAATTATCATTTTTTTAAATAATTAAGATCAATTATTCTAAACTTAAATAACCAACGATAACGACGACGCTGAAGGCTGCCAACAGTTCTCAATTTAAAATTTAAATAAGAACTAATTGAGGAAGTGTAGTAGTAGGCTTGCTTTTGTGCGTAAGTAAACTAACTACTTGCGCATTTGGTAAAGTTCAACTTCTTCCCAAAAAGGAAACATTTCGTTTTTTTACGAAACTTTTCAGAGGCAAAGTCAGTAAATCTAAATCTATTCATTAAGTGTGGTAAAAAGAGAGAGATGTCAAGCCAGGCCGGCCCATCTCCTTAAACCACGGCCCAAAATGTAAATAAGTGAATGAGGTTTAATCAGTAAAACACAGATTCTTAAGCAGAAAAAGAAAGGAAACTCGTTAATTTATTTCACATTTATTCCCTGCACCCACCAACTAAGGAGAAACTTGGCTGTCTCATCTCATTGACCAGAAACATCATTTAGTAAATAAACTAATCTTCTACCATCTCTGCCTTTCAACCCAATTCCCCTAAAAAATAAGTAAGTAAATTCATCACGACCCTTTTTACAACACGCCCTTAATGAAAGTTTGTTCTTAAATCGGGAAAAAGAATCAATTTAACCATTTATTCAGTAGTCGTTTGACTGTCCTCTTCTCATTCCTTTAATTTGACCTCAGAATGGAGGTCTCCCAGCGTATGCTCACATATTTTGACCAAACTTGTGTCGATCGATCACAAATTCAATTAGTATGAAATTTGAAAAAGACACGGTCTCCCAATGCCCAATTTTGGCAGAGATATTGGCATCCAAAAAGGAGAAAACGCGCAGTAAGTTTAGAAAGTATACCATTTGCCAACTTTAAGACGGGTTTTCTCCTCCTTGGATGCAAATATCTCCACAAACCTGCGCATTAGGAGATCGTGTCTTTTGTAAATATCATATTAATTGAATTTGTAATCGATTGACACTAATTCGGTCAATTTCTAAACCGGAGAGATACGTTGGGAGACCTCCATCGTCAGCACAAAGTTTCAGGCTCAAAAATGACACAAAAATCCTTGCTGTCATCAATCCCTCCAATTCTCCCTGCCAGATTACATATTCACTTGACATCTGTTTGTTAGGCTAACTATGTAAGTTTGGCCCTAATTTAACTTTCCAAAGTCAACTCGGTCACGTAGATAGCGTAGAAAGTTAGTTACAACAATTCAGCCCCAGGTTGAATGATCCAGTCAGTATGGCAGTTGACGTAATGCGATATGTTGGCTCTAGTAAGTACATAGAAATCTAAAGTGGGAACATTTTAGCAAAGTCTTCGCAACTTTGTGAGCCATGCCACTGCCCAAAAGCTTCCGATTTCAAGTCAAAGTTAAAGTGGAGGAGAAAGGAATAAAAGTTCTTATTAGACTCATTTTGGAAATCCGTTGAGAGAAATTAAACCTGGGGCTCAATACCTTAAGCACACACTTAGCTCGGCTCGACGACTTGATTCTGGCCACTCTCTCCTTATGACTTTCTCTCCCGAGTCGTTTTGCAAAATGAAATTCGAATCCATGTCTCGCCAACGGTAACCAAACCACTAGCCACTCTTCGCCTGCCTGCAATTGCTACCATCGGCCAATCTGCAATAATTTCTCTTTTTCATCCTCTCAAATTACTGTCGATTATGCTACATTCCATAAATTCCCGACCTCTCCGACTGGAATGTACATATGGAGTCCCAGTATTAATCTGTGCTACGTATGTTCGAGAAAACGTTCCCCTGTTGCCTGTTAGGTTGAAATTTAATTGAGTAGGTGGTAATAGTGATGATGCATAGATTGGATTTATGACTTATGGTTGGATTGAATTTTTATTCGGCCTCCTCCAGAAATGCCGACAAATGATGGTTAAGTGTAGGCTATTAAACAGTAAAAACACCTCTTTCACCGAAAGTGCTATGTGTCATGCAACAGTATGAAAATTATGTTATGCCAAAAAAGCAGAACTTTTACTCGGATTTGTGCATGTAATAATTCCGAGTGTATTTTAGTAACGGGGAATAATGGATAAAAATATATATGTATAAGAACTTACCACTCGGGGCCATATCATACATGACGTGATCTCTCCCTTTCCGCCGCATAAGTCTGATGACGACGACGGCGACAATTCCAAAAACCACGATCGCCACACCCAGTCCAATATAGAGTGCAATGTCTGTTTCCGCTACGGCTCGTGCAGCTAGAAAATCAATCAGAGAGAAAGATATTAATTAACATTTGGTATAAACAACAGTATTAAAGTTGGTAGTGGTGAAACTACTTGTAATAAAGTATATATTGGTGTGCAGTGGCCGCGGAAGCTGTGGGGACATCGGGGGACATTAACATTGTAGGATAAGGGAGGGAGGGGTTCATATAACATGGACAGATGATGGGGACATTGTCCCTCTGTCCTCACACTTCCGCGGCCACTTGTGTCCGTATCGCTGCATTGGACCGATTTCCAAAAAACCCTACCAGAAAAAAAAATCTGTTTGCCACTACCCGCAACTTGGCGAATTAATTGATCTCGTCAATCTTCTCGACACCATTGATTCCGTCCATGAAACACAACACTTTCCTTTCATTTCATCTCTCGGTAAATGTCCCCGACCGATCCGGTGCCATGCTCTCAATCAAAATTGACCCACCCAACCAACCAACCGACCAAAGACCATTAGAAGCAGGAGAAGAAATATACGACACAAGTTCAGTGTCCAAAACTACTCATGTATCCCATCACACGCGCTCCTCTACTAAAAATGAAACCAATTTCTGAGCCTACACGACTATTATTATTCTTATAAAATATTGACCGAGTTTATTATAGCCGTAGAAGTAGAAGAACCAGTCATTTTGACCACTACCACTAAACTGTGACATCAAATAATAACTTTCTCACTACTTGTATCAGAAAGAGAAAGAACAATAAACTTTCTCCCACCAAACCGCGGTGGTCGAGAAAGAAAGTAGGTTTGTAATTGCGAAATCTCGAGTGTCGGAGTTATCCAGGTCACAAAAAGTTCTCGTTTTTCATTTCGCCAACCAACTGCGGAGAAAGAACAACTCATATTTTTCCATTTATGTAACCGGAGAGGACAGAACAGGAGGAGTAATCATAAAATAACAATGGGCGTTGGTGGTGGTGGTGGCTACCAGAAAAGACGAGCACAATCCAATTAAATTACTACTGGTTAGTGGTTCCAGATGCGGTTTTGGGAGATGATGTTGCCTTGATCTGGACCAAAGTTGTTTTTAAATCGTATAACTTGCAGGGTGAAATTGAAATCAGGAGAGGTTTTATAACGGCCCAGCTTCATCCTTTATGTGCATATCGTTTGTAAATATGTTTGAAATTGCAATTTATAGCTGCTTTATAGAGTTTCTTATTAAAACTCCAAGTGAAGCCGACACCATCAACCATCCGTTATTAATTAAAGGTTAATTAACTTTTAAAGTCAAAGTTGAACTGCTTCTTGTGTACCTAAATCGATGGAAAGTTAGTTGTTGCCAGTATACATTTTATGTAGTCTTACAAGGACGAACAGAGGCTTTGATTCCTGTCTAAACAGTAAATCTGTTCGACATAAGGTAACTAAGATTGCCCAAGGGAAAGGAAAATTATTCGCTCTATTTCGTACGAAAAGTTGGATAATTATTATTATCCGCGTACCTAAAACGGAACCACAGGCTGACGTTGGTGAAAGTTAGCAGATATAGTTATCTATATGTGCATATTTATGTACATACAGATAATATATCCCTCATGGCAATGTGATTAGTTGCAAACTTTGTAATCTCCACGTGTCACATGTCCATGTTTGTGTAGTATCTAGTAACAAACGCGAAATATTAGAGGCGGCCCTGTCATGGGTGGATTCGTAGATGAGATGTTGACCGACCTCGATTGGAAATGGCGTTGATTTCTACACATCCAATCCACAAATACAATTCCACCCAACCAAATATACAATATAAACCGAAGGAGAATGATAAATGAAATGGAATCAGGCCAAATTTTGCCTTATACTCCCACAACAACCACCTACTTTCCTCCTCCCATTACTTACTTAGTTTGTTAGTGGGTGAGGATTTGGTGAAAATCTTGGCAACAAAGTAAACCCGACAGATAGACAGCTAAGCTAACTCACTACATACTTTCTCCAAGCGAATAAAGACTGTCACGTCCAATAAGAAATTTCCGAATCGCAGCGTCTCCTCTCGCAACATCTCATCTCGTCCATTTTCTGTACTACACACGTTGCGTATTTAGTGATGCAGCATGGTTTACTTCCAGCCAAATGGCTGAATTCCTGTACTTTACGTATTCCTAGTTCAAATTCCAGTCTGCCTGCCGAGAACTGAACTTTGCTGGAGCTGCATCAATAATGGGACGGAATGAAATTAAATGAACTTGAAGTAGGGCAGCAGGCAGTCAGCCAGGCCAAAGTATTACCATTATTGTCGGCATGTCTTATATATAATCTCCTCGGAATTTAAGTCAAGTGGAGTATCGTGATGTTATGTAAATAAATAACGAGTTTGGTGGTTACCAAACTGGCTTGAAATTCGGGATATTGCTGGAGCTGCTGAATAAACATAAATTCTTGAAGCTTCCATTATTTGAATTCATGGACTAATTGAAAAATTGAGGTAATTCCCAGTGTGCCAGATGTTTCATGATTTTGGATTATTTTACAAATCTAATCTGTTCAATTGGGGACAAATTAAAATGGAAACTATAAAATAAAGCCAGCCACCCGCATGGCATGCATCATTTCACGGCGCTAATGATCCAGCACTTGAATTGAATCCCTGATATTGTATGTATTGGCCTGGTCAGAGATTGAGTAGATGGATGGACGAGCGAATCCAAATGAACTGAAACTCAAATAGCAACATCCCACACGTCGGATTCATCTGCGGACATTGGAAACGAGTCCGGCTGCTGGTAAGAGCCGTCTCAATTTCAATTTCAACCCTTTTCCTTGCAATATCCGCCATATGGTGCTTCTTTTGATGGGTGTAACAACCATGGTCCACGTGACTGGGAAGATTACAGGATTTGCGAAATATACAAACTGGGGGTGGCGCATCCCACGTGAAGACTCCTCGATTCCCATTGTGATTTCCAAGTAGAGAAAGTAATGTTACATGGAACGTTTGTAACGTGCAACGTTATGGAACATTACATTAATTCAGTTACTCTTTCGTTGGTATCAGTGGCCGCGGAAGCGTGGGGACAGAGGGACAATGTCCCCACGGATATTCGATGTCCCTATCATCCGCCCATGTTATATAAACCCCTCCCTCCCCTATCCTACAATGTTAATGTCCCAGATGTCCCCACAGCTTCCGCGGCCACTAGTTCTCATCCTACACACACATCCATACATACAATGGAATTGAATTGGTCGAGATTGAGGCTGCTGCTGCTGTTGGACTGTGGAAAGTTTGGCAAATGTGGACGTTGATGAGAATCGAAGCAGTGATTACGGGAATTCCCTACAGTGACAGACGAAACTTTTAGATCAAATGCTTTAAGTGACCCATTTCACTCGCTGACTGACTACGGAACAAATCGCTAAACCCATTTCAACAAATCTCACATGGGCATCAGTTAACAGTTCGCGGAGGATAAATAAATAGGTCAGAGAATGACTTTTGCCAACAATTTTACTTAATTGGGACAGATATTCGCTCCCCCAAAGCTAAACAAACTAACCCAAAAACCCTAACCAAACAATTTTTAGAGACGGAATAGAAACCTAAACGTACGAAATTTGAAACCTGACAAGGAAGCCGAGTACGTAAAAGCCCCACATTTGATTGGGAGATCATTATAACTTGGCGAAACCAAAATGGATAATGATTACGAGAGAAAGCTACCGAGTTTAATAACGCCTTTCTCCATTACATAGTACAAATTAAGGGTGCTTCCATTTTTAAACAGAAAAGCCAAGATCCAAACTTTTGCAGATATGTATGGGCGATACGTAAATACATAAATATGTGTAGATCTGAATACATACTCCTTGTCTGCATCTCCCCAAAATAAATCAGATGAAACCTCATAGTTCATCGTTACCCGTAAATCTGCATCAATCTCTAAACCTCATCTTGATCGGGGGGTCTCATACGAAAAGTTCTATGTAAGAATGGCTTGTGGATTGGATTGTACAAAGCGGACACAGCGAGAATTTCTGAGCTCCCTATGATGAAGATGATGATCCTTTCTTCTCAAAAGGCAAAGGGAATGAAACGGACCGTAAACGGTGATTTCGGCGAGTCAAGTATCACATTAAAACCAAACGAGGAAAGGAACATAGTTTATAACAAAGAACGATAGATATTCAGATTTTGTCCCCAAAAAAAACTCCCTGCGATATGGACAATAATGTTGCGAAGCCATAAACAAGGTTGACAATCTCACAGGGAAGCAAACTTTATACGTATTTCCCTCTAATTTACGATTCCACTCTGAGAAATTGAAGATTCTCAACTTTTTTACGCAAAATAAAGCAAGATGAGACCGGAACAATGTTTCCCTCAAAATTCTCAATCCCTTTCCTCACTCACAAGCGTAAATTGGCTGCAGAGTCTCATTCAAAATTTCAATAAGCTTAATTTTCAATACGTATAACAAGGAATAAAGTGGCCATGAAATCCCTAAAGTATTTCAACCACCATTCCTCAAAAAATGGAGCTAAATACATACGCAGCAAGCAATGCCCCCTTCACTACCACAACCCCTCTGAAATCCTACCCTGCAATCAAAAATCTAGCCAAGAATTAAAGAAAATGATGGGTGACATCCCCCAACCAGCACCGTCGCCGTATTGTTGATTGTGTTGGTTTTTGCCTCTTCTGCACCATTTTATTTGCCATTTGAATCTCACTCTCAAGCCCAATAACCAAACCACCCTTATCGTTTGCGTGAGCTGGATGACGTACGTACGTTGCGTTCTGTTGTTTGTTCTTGATTGACGTGACATTCAGAAAAATGAAGAGACATTGCATCCTCTGGGAACTTTGTGGCTGGGTAGTCTAGTAGCCTCCCTTCTTCTTACGTAAGAATTAGTTAGGCAGGCAGGCAGCATTCAAAAAATCCATTTCCGTGCGTGCGGATGTATGTATCTAGCACATGGTGTTTTTGTTTGGAAACTTTTTTTTTGTTATGCAGTCAGAGTAACAAGTGAC